TTAGGCAGCTAAACCTTTTTTCATGAGTATTCTCGTCTTTTAAAAAATTTCGTACTCGAGTATTTTCTGAAAAGTACTCGAGTACTTTTTAGAAAATACTCGTACTCGTACTCATACTCGACGCCCAGTACCCGTACTCGTACTCGATGCCCAGTACTCATACTCGTACTCGATGCCCAGTACTCATACTCGTACTCGTACTCGAGAATCTGCGTACTCGCCCATCTCTGTTTATTTTAGCTCCACTTAACACATTTGTCTTCAATTACAAGGAGGTATCTATTCATAAACATTTGGGAATATATTTGAGTTCCAATCTCTCAAGGGATGAGCACGTTAATTTCACTAGGTAAGATACAAACTATTCATAATTACATGCGTTTGTTAAAATAGACTCTGTCTCGTGAAGCGTTAGAGTGTATATACAAGGCTTTTATAGTTGCCATAAATGTATCCCATATTATTCAATGACTGTGCAACATCTGAATGACTATCTCTAAATAAATCTCGTCTCATTTTTAATGCTTGTTCAAAGTATTCTAATCGTTTTTGTGCATCTCCTAATTGATCATAAATGCATCCAACATTATTCAATGATTTTGTAATAAGTGCATGACTACCTTCATATAATGTTTTTAGTATTTTCAAATTATTTTCATGATATTTTAATAAAGTTTTAAAATTGCATAATTTATTTTCATCGTATTTTGCTTTTTTTAAATATAAATTGGCTAAATTTTCATTATCTTCAATTTCTTGCACTAAATTCAAATTTATCAATTTATATGCATTTCTATAATATATTTCTGCTTTATTTCAATCGTCATTTGGCATAGCATCAATTTCTGGTATTTTATTACTGACTGCTTTAATCAACGTTTCTAATATCGTCGTTTTTTGTATGCATTTTCCATTATTCGCTTCCTTTTCGACATATTTGTCAATTATGTCTTTTATTATCGAATGTATTTTTATTCCTATTACAGCTTCTTTCTCATTTACTAGTTCAATCTGATTTACTAATGAAAGTTCCTTCTAGCGCTTCTTTTTCTTTATCGATATCAATTTCATTATCACTTTTTTCTTCTGTTAATATTTCTTTGAGTATATCTATGCTTATAAAATTTTCATCTAAATAAACGCAATGCTGTAATAATTTCCATCCATTTGGTGATAGGTTCATTAGTCCTTTAACGGGACATTCGCATAGTACGTCATCTCAAGGGAGCGGAACGGAGTTTAAAAAAAGGTGACTAATGATCACATAGAGAAGGGCAGGGGCTCCTTTGGGGAAAGATGATGACATCAACAAAACTTTTTTTCAGATATTTTGTAATTTCACTTCTGTTCGAATACTAGAATCGTATATTCTGGTTTAAATTATGAGAGCAGTATAGAGGTGCGAGGTCGTACACAGTTTGCGTTCGCCGTGAACTCATTCTGTCATATATATTTGTAGTATCTTAGTGATTTCATCAACAACTGTGGCGTACAATTTAAACAGTTGTGAAATACGCAGAGAAAACTAACTGCAGCCGTTTTACATATTTTTATCTGCTACTCTCTTTTTACTAGTTATAACTCCGAGCCTAACAGCTGTAGTTCGAAGATTACAGTAAAGGAATAGTAACGGGCTTCGAGACCGTTACATCACCTCCCCGCCAATGATGAAAAGATTCGTCCTCGAATCGAAAAAAAACCAACTAACCTTCGAACTGCACACTTAAAATTTTATACAATTGTTTATCTCTTTTTTTTTGAAACTGGCGACTTCACGAATGGTGATAGTGTGATGTTTTTATCACATAGGAAAAATACAATCATTAGTAAAATTGAGGTACAGCGCTAGATTGGGATTGTGTATTTCTTCCTTTTGGGATTTTACAATTGTAGTTTAAGATGAACAGATTGTATGATGTACCGCTTGTTACAGAAAAACACTAAGATAATGCAAAGAAAAATGCATTCATGTGACTCATAATATGATAGGATCGCGCCATTCCTATGTGTTGAAAATTGATTTCTTACTGTTTACTTTACTCTCTTCACTATTTTATCCGCTCGTAACAACTTCTTAAACTTTCTCTCTCTCTCGATTAATGGCAAACGTTAGTCTAGCCGATAGGCTAGAGATTATTTTGCGCTTCGGTTTCCACAACCACTTGCGTCTATTAATCGTTGGTCCCGACAGCAACTGGGCTCATACGTGGGCGGAGTGGTGGCGTCAGGAATTTGACGATTTCGCTGCGGGTAAGTTTAACAATTTTGACGCAAATAGATCGGAGTATTTAAGTATTAATTCCCTCAGAAGTTTTTCTTCTTTTGGGTTTAATTTAGCACTGGAGAGATCTAAGCCTCTCAAAAGTTGGATCTCGCAGTCTTCGTTTGAGCCGATAAAAGAGAAGGAGCGTTTTTATTGTCCTTAGCAAAATCCTTAACTCCGAAAACATACGGGTCTTGTTCACTTCATTATCCGAGTCATTTTCATTTTCACCTTCGCCTCTTTCTTCTTTCAGTTCGTATTTTCTTTTATATATGTTTATGTTTGTCCCTACATTAACTGATCCCTCTTTATTTATAACTGGCTTCGGCGGTTCCAGTATTAATTTTTGATGAAATGTTGTTG